AAGCCACTCCCCCCACACCTCAGTTTTTCCTATCTATAAAATGGGCATAATGATGGGCCTTCTCTAGTGGGGGCTAGAAGAGAGACTATGTGTTTAGCACAGAGCAGCACAGAGAGAAGCTGAGGTAGTATCATTGTTATCATTTTCTTTTCTTATTTTCTTTTTCCTTTGAGACAGAGTTTCACTTTGGTAGAGTGCTGTGGCATAACAGCTCATAGCAACCTCCAGCTCTTGGGCTTAGGCAATTCTCTTGCCTCAGCCTGTAGCTGGGACTACAGGTGCCTGCCACAATGCCCTGCTATTTTTTGTTGAGTTTGGCTGGGGCCAGGTTTGAACCTGCCACCCTCTGTATATGGGGCCAGTGCCCTACTCACTGAGCCCCAGGCAACACCCTTGTTTTTTTATTTTCACCTTATGACTGTTTTCCTGACCACTTGGTAGGGTTGGGACTTGGGCAGAACTGCTAATGACTCCTGACTCAAACAGGAACTGAATGAGACCTTTGCATTTCCTCTCATTCATTCAATAAACATCCAGGTGACACTGGGAAGAGGAGCCCTGGTGTGGATTTGGGCACTGATCAGGCTTTTGGGAGGTTCTCACAAACCATGGGACGTCTCAGTTTTTCCATCTATTTTTTTTTTTAATTATTTTTTAATTTTTTTTTTTGAGACAGAGCCTCAAACTGTCCCCCTGGGTAGAATGCTGTGGCATCACAACTCACAGCAACCTCCAACTCCTGGGCTTACTCGAGTCTCCTGCCTCCACCTCCCAAGTAGCTGTGACCACAGGCGCCCACCACATCGCCTGGCTGGTTTTTTTTTTTTTTTTTGGTTGCAGCCATCATTGTTGTTTGGCGGGCCCGGGCTGGATTCAAACCCACCACCTTAGGTGTATGCGGCTGGCGCCTTAACCACTTGAGCCACAGGTGCTGAGCCAGTTTTTCCATCTTTAAAATAGAGCAATAATTGGACCTACCTCCTAGGGCTCTTGTAAAGAGCTTGGCAGAGTTAATGTTTTATAAAAATGGTTAGGAAAAGGTCTGTTGTATAGGGAACACTCATTAAATGTTGTTGTTCCTATGGAGGATTTGAGAGCATGACACAGAGAGGTGGGTCCTAGCTGAGGCCTGGTCAGAGAAAGAGCTTAGAGTGGACAGCTGTTCTGAGGTTTGACCCTGCAGTTAGGCCTCAAGACTCTGTTATAGGGGCTAGACAGGCACAGGTGTTCCAGGCAAAGGACAGAGACTCAGGGTGCCCAAAAGGTGAGTTGGCCCCAGGTGGAGGTGGTAGTTGGTTGATGCTGGTGCCATGTGTAGGCCAGAAGAGCCAGAGGCCACAAATCTAGTTAATCTCTTGCTTTCATTTGTTCACTCATTCGATGTTTATTGAGCTTGGGCTGTATACTAGGAACTAGAGATGGGGCAGGGAATGTACCTGTACCTGGTGGGGAGATAACTGAGCAATAGTGTGTGGCCAGTATGTGGAAGGACAAGTTCGGGCCTCCACATAGTTGGGGAGTTCAGGGAAGGTTTCTCTGATGTGCAGCTGGAAGCAGGCAGAATAGACAGGGCAGAGGGAATGGCTTGTGCCAACACCCAGGGATAGCACATGGCTGGGGGCAGATCACATGGACTGTATAGATGGGGCAGTAGCCTGGGTCTGGAATTGGAGCTCTCTAGGCCCCCCTAAGCCAAGAGGCAGTGACTGCCTTTCTTGCATCAAGGAGAGAAGTAGGGGACTTCAGGGTTGACCCAGGACTGGTGTCTGTGAGGGGTATCAGGCCCACCCCTTTCAGCCTCAGGAAGTGCATGGTGGCTAAGGGCAGATGTGACCCTTCCCCCTCTCCTTCTGCCTGACAGTCTTTACTGACTATTTACTTTGTGTAAACCACCTACCCTGTACAACTTCTAAAGACCCTGTGATGTGCAAAAATGACTGTGTGCTGGAGGATACTCCCAACAAGGGCAGAGACACCTACTTACACTGTTTCTAGGGTCTCCTGCTACTTTTAACTGTAGGATCTCCACCCTGGCCTGGAAGTGGCAGGGGCAGCCCCTCATTGCTGCTGTCCTTTAGGTGTGCCCAGTGTGACCTGCCATGACAAAGGGGGAGATGCCTGTGGAGTGGCATGTGGCAGAAGAAACTTCATTTCTGGGTTCAGATCACTCATCTTGGGCCCCCTGTTGAGGATTCCTTAGAAGCATTTTACAGGGTGGATACCATGCTGTCAGCTGCTTGACAGAAGAGGAAATGGAGGTTCAGAGAGGCCCAGTCAGATGTCAGGCCAATGAATTTGTGGCCTCCTTTGTAACATGAGCCCCAGGAAAGCAGAGGTTTTTGTCTTGTTCATTATTGTACCCCCAGGGCCTAGCAAGGTGCCTGGCACACAGTAAACCTCCAATGATGTTTGGGAGGGAGGGGTAAGTTAGGGAGTAGATAGAGGTGGCATTTGCCCCCACACCTCTCTGCAACCTATGTTCCTGCTGCCCCTGTTCATGAGGGACAGTCACTGGAGTGGCACTGTTTGTTCTGGGTGGATTCAGTAAGGATCTCTGTGTGCCCTTGTGCTCCAGTGGGGAGACTTTCTCATTCCCCCATCCTGAAGAGCAGGTATGGATGCATGGTTGCCAGCAGGGCCCAGGCCCAGCCAGGCTTAAGAGGAAGAAAGGGATAGTACTGATGGTTGACTACAGAGTGGGGCTTAGTGTCATTTTGATTGTCTTGACCCTTAGGTAAGGTCCTCCAGCCATGGGAAGATGAAGGGAGCCTTCCCCTTTTTTTTGAGACAGAGCCTCAAGCTGTCCCCCTGGGTAGAGTGCCATGGCTTCACTGCTCACAGCAACCTCCAACTCCTGGGCTCAAGCGAGTCTCCTGCCTCAGCCTCCCACGTAGCTGGGACCACAGGCGCCCGCCACAACGCCCGGCTATTTTTTTTTTTTTTTTTGGTTGCAGCCATTATTGTTGTTTAGCGGGTTCGGGCTGGATTCGAACCTGTCACTTTAGGTGTATGTGGCTGGTGTCTTAGCCACTTGAGCCACAGGCGCCGAGCCAGAGCCCCCTTTAAGATGGCAAGCATCTACCTGTCCCAGAGCAGGAAATACCTTTGTATCCCTGTGAGTCTTGTTAGTTTATTTCTCTTATTTGTTGTTTTATGTTTTTGTAGACACCAATAGCATACTTTTATTGTAACAGTGAAATAACAGTAATAGCAGCTAGCCTGTATTAAGCTTTTCCTAGCTTTTAAGGCCTTTACATTTCTTAACTCCATTAAACCTATGAACATTCCTATGAAGTAGGTCACTGTCATGGTCACTGTTTTATAGATGGGAAACTAAATCAGAGAGAAATCAAGTAAGGTCACACAACTAGTAAGTGCCAGTGGTGCTGGGATTTGAACTCAGGCTCCAAAATCTGTACTGTTAACTCTGTTTCCTAGAGATAAGTAGTAATAATCTTCCCCCTCCCAACCCTTCTCTTCCCCTCACCCCAATTCTGGTTCCTCCCAGTGGTCACCACTGTTTCAGAATGGGTTGCTTCTGCAAGACCTTTTAATTTTTATTTGTTCTTTTTTATTTTGTTTTGTTTTTGAGACAGAGCCTCACCTTGTTGCCCTTGGTAGAGTGCTGTGGAGTCGGCTCACAGCAACCTCAAACTCTTGGGCTCAAGTGATTCTCTTGCCTCTCCCTGCCTCCCAAGTAGCTGGGACTACAGGCGCCTGCCACAGCACTTGGCTAGTTTTTCCATACCTACTCTCACTCTGGCTTAGGCTGGTCTCCAGCTCAGGCAGTCCACCACCTCAACCTCCCAGAGTGCTTGGATTATGGGCGTGAGCTACCCTGCCCAGCCTCAGACCTTTTAATTTTTACATATAAAAGTTGGTAGTTCAGGCTCAGTGCCTGTGGCTCAAGTGGCTAAGGCGCTAGCCACATACACCAGTGCTGGCAGGTTCAAATCCAGCCTGGGCCTGCCAAACAACAATGACAACTACAACCAAAACATAGCTGGGGGTTGTGCTGGGTGTCTGTGGTCCCAGTTACCTGGGAGGCTGAGGCAAGAGAATTGCTTAAGCCCAGGAATTGGAGGTTGCTGTGAGCTGTGATGCCACAGCACTCTACCCAGGGTGATAGCTTGAGGCTCTGTCTCAAAAAAAAAAAAAGTTGGTAGTTCTGCTTTATGTACCGTGTTTCCCCAAAAATAAAACCTACCCAAAAAATAAAAATAAGCCCTAGCAGGATTTCTATGTATTTGTTAAGTATAAGCCCTACCCAGATAATGAGACCTAGTGATGGGCATGGCTATGCAGATACGCCATGCATTTTGGCATGGAGAGGAGGAAGATAGCCCCTGAAAATAAGCCCTAGTGTGTCTTCTTGAGAAAAAAATAAATATAAGACAGTGTCTTGTTTTCCAGGAAACATGGTATGTGTTTATGTAAATAGCATTGTACAATTTGTAATCTATGTTTTGGTTTTTTTTTTTTCTTCTTTTTTTTTTTTTTTGCTTAATGGCATGTTTTAGAGTTCTTTTGGAGGTGTTGGAAAAGATCTTCTTCATCCTTTCCAACTGCTGCAGAATATTTCAGCCTGTAGACATACCACAGTGTATTTCATTAGTCTTCAGTTGGACTAGATGGACAGTTTATAATTTTTCCCTATCATAAACCTTTTGGCAGGAAATGTCTAGCAGGCAATTGTCCTGTATATGCCTCACTGTGTATACAATCAAGTATTTCTCTTGAATATTTAGAAGTGGGATTACTGGGTTTAAAACTGATTCTACTAAATTGTCTTCCAAAAAGCCTGTATTCCTTCACAGAACTTGCACCATTGTTGGGGAGTGCTCATTTCACTGCATCTTCACCAGTACTTGGTATTATCGTCCTTTTTTATTTTTGCTGTTGTCCTGGGTGAACAGGTTGGCTTCTGGGGCTGGTTTGGAGTAGTCATTTCATGCCTTTCTGCTCACTCCTTTATTGTTCACCCCCTACGTGTCTTTCAGCTTGGCCGCCCCACCTCGGTCTCCACCATGAATGGGCCAACCCTGCAGCCGTCCTCAGCCTCCTCAGGCTCCCTGGCTGCAGCCGCAGCCTCCTCATCCCCCCGGGGCTGGAGTGAGTTCTGCGAGCTGCACGCCGTGGCCACGGCCCGGGAGCTGGCCCGACAGTACTGGCTCTTCGCCCGTGAGCACCCGCACCACGCGCCACTGCGCGCCGAGCTCGTGTCGCTGCAATTCACCGACCTCTTTCAGCGCTATTTCTGCCGTGAGGTGCGTGAGGGCCGGGCGCCAGGGCCACCAGGACCCCGGGCGACACTGGCGCGTGACTACCGGGAGACCCGTGGAACCCCGGCCAAGGCCGAGGTGCCCCCAGTCGAGACGGGCCCCCCCGCCCCCGCCCTCACCCTACCCAAGGCCCGCAGTTCCGAAGAGCTGGCCCTGCAGCGCCTGCCAGGTTCCTACTCCTTCCAGCACTTTCGCCGTAGCCTTCGCCACATCTTCCGCCGCCGGTCTGCCGGGGAGCTGCCTGCGGCCACTGCCGCTGGTGCTGCTGGGGAGGCAGGTGAGGCCCCGAGTAGGCCCAGCCTGGCTAAGAAGCTTCTGCCCTGGAGTCTGGCTCGAGAGCCACCACCTGAGGCCCTGAAAGAGGGGGTGCTGCGGTATAGCCTGGCCGATGAGGCCTCCATGGACAGCGGGGCACGCTGGCAACGTGGGAGGCTGGTGCTGCGCAGGGCCCCAGGCCCCGACAGCGGAGGCCCTGACCGCGTGTTGGAGCTCTTCGACCCACCCAAGGTAAGCCCTGCTGGTTTAGCATGTCATTCATTGAGTTGAGAGCAGGGACGTGAGGATCGGTGAAAATTTTCCTGCTGGTAGCAGCAAAGTGCCCAGAGAGAAGTATGCTCCTTTAAAAATGAACTTCGGACTCACCGTAGCACAGTGGTTATGGCGCCAGCCACATACACCAAGGGTGGTGCGTTGGAATTCCGCCTGGGTCAGCTAAACAATGGCAACTGCAACAAAAAATAGCCAGGCATGTATTGGGCGCCTGTAGTCCCAGCTACTTGGGAGGCTGAGGCAAGAGAATCGCTTATGCCCAAGAGTTTGAGGTTGCTGTGAGTTATATATAACAGCACTCTACCAGGAGCAACATAGTGAGACTCTGTCTCAAAAATAAATAAATAAATAAAAATGAACTTCGTATTTTAGAGTCATTTTAGATCTACAGTAAAGTTGCTAAGATACACAGTGCACCCAGCCTCACCTGTTATGCTACTCTGTACGGGTGACATAACTAAGGCTCCAGCACTAGTACCTTACTGTTAACTGAACTCCACAGTTTCTTTGGATTTTGCTAGCTTTTCTCTAATGTTGTTTTTCTGTTCTGGCATGCCACCCAGAATACCATGTTAGATAGTTATGTCTCCTCAGATGCCAATTGGTTAGGACAGTTCTGTTTTTGATGGCTTTGAAGGTTTTGAGGATTATCATTCAAGAATTTTGTAGAATGTATAGGGACATCTCTTTTGATTCATATTTGAGTGTCATTGGGCTGGTTGTGGCAGGTTGGTCCAAGGTCTTTGAAAACCCTGACTCAGATTGACTTTGACAAATAGGTGTTTTATTTCTACAGGGTTCACAACAGGCATAGAATTTCTTTGCACCTCTCATGCATTGTTGAGGTTTTATCTTCCAAGTTTTTTTTAAAACACACAGCTTAACACACCTTCACAACCAGATTAATTCCCATTGTGCAGTTGGAGAGCTGAGAGTCACTGTGCTCTGCAACTCTCTTGGAGTTGAGAAGACTGTGTGGCTCTTATTTAATTCCTTTCTCTTTTTCTAGGGCCTATTATGTGCTAAGATCTTGCTCTAGCAAGAGCAAAACAGCTGTAATCTCAGCCCTGAGAAGTTCTTGGTGGGATGAAGGAGCCGTACAGTTAAGTTCATTTGGTCAGCTGATATTTTTGAGCACCTCCTATGTGCCAGACATGTGCTGAGTCCTGGAAGAGCTGGCATTTTTTTTTTTTTTTTTTGAGACAGGAGCCTCAAGCTGTCCCCCCGGGTAGAGTGCTGTAGCATCACAGCTCACAGCAACCTCCAACTCCTGGGCTCAAGCGAGTCTCCTGCCTCAGCCTCCCGAGTAGCTGGGACCACAGGCGCCTACCACAATGCCTGGCTATTTTTTGGTTGCAGCCGTCATTGTTGTTTGGCGGGCTTGGGCTGGCCCAAACCTGCCACCTTGGGTGTACGTGGCTGGCGCCTTAGCCACTTGAGCCACAGGCGCCGAGCCAGAGCTGGCATTTTATTGAAGGCTGTTGAAGGAATAAACCCACAAATGAACATGGAATTAGGAGAAGCAATGGAGTCTTGAGGATAATTGACGGGCCCCAGTTTGGACTGGGAGTAAGGGGCTGTCAGAGAATACTCCTCCTGCATGTGAAGTAACCTTTTTAAAACTTTATTGTGGTGTAACATGCAAACTCTGAAGTGTGTGCATCTGAAGCTCTGTGAGTGTTTTCCATGTGTGTATACAGAACACCCAGAGGGCTTCTTGCCTCGTTTTTTTTTTTTTTTTGACAGAGTCTTGCTCTGTTGCTCAGGTGGAGTGCAGCCTTGAACTCTTGGAGTCAAGTAATCCTCCTGCCTCAGCCTTCTCAGTAGCTGGGACTACAGGCACCTGCCATCTTGTCTGGCTTAATTTTTGCTATTTTTAGTAGAGAAAGGGGTCACACTTTGCTCAGGGTGGCCCACTGGTTTGATTTCTGTTCTTTTTTTTTTTTCTTAAATTTTGTCCATTCACCCTGGGTGGAATGTTGTGGCTTACAGCTTACAGCAACCTCAGACTTCCTAGGCTCAAGTGATCTTCTTGCCTTAACCTCCCAAATAGCTGGGACTGTAGACACTCACCACACCTGCCTAGTTTTTTTCTTTTCAGTAGAGAAGGGGTCTCACTCTTGCTTAGGATGGTCTGGAACTCCTAAACCCAAGAAATCCTCTCACCTCAGCCTCCCAAAGTACTAGGATTATAAATGTGAGGCACCGCACCTGGTTGATTGCTATTCTTGAATGTCACATGAATGGAATCACACAGTCTTTTCTGTCTGGCTGCAGTGGCTGAGCATGTTTTAGAGATTCACCACATTCTTGCTTGTGTCAGTAATTTGTTTCCTTTGTTTGCTAAATAGTCTGCTGTTGTATTGATGTCCCAGGGTCCCACAATTGGTTTATACCATCTTCTGTTGAATATTTGTGTTGTTTCTATTTTGGGACTTTTATGAATATGCTATGTTATAAAATCTGCATCTAAGTCTTCATATAGACATATCCTTTCATTTCCCTTGGGTAGAATCCTAGAAATGGCACTGATAGGTCACATAGTAAATGCACATTTAGCTTTATAAGAGATTAGCTGAGTATAACAGGCCTGTAATCCTAGCACTATGGGATGATCATTTGAGGCCAGAAGTTTAAGACTAGCCCAGGCAATAGCGAGACTGTGTCTCTATTAAAAAAAAAAAAAAGATTTCAGCTCAGTGCCTGTGGCTCAAGTGGCTAAGGCGCCAGCCACATACACCTGAGCTGGCAGGTTCGAATCCAGCCCAGGTCTGCCAAACAACAATGATGGCTGCAACCAAAAAATAGCCAGGCGTTGTGGCGGGCGCCTGTAGTCCCAGCTACTTGGGAGGCAGAGGCAGGAGAATCACTTGAGCCCAGGAGTTGGAGGTTGCTGTGAGCTGTGATGCCGTAGCACTCTACCCAGGGCGACACCTTGGGGCTCTGTCTCAAAAAAAAAAAAAAAAGATTAGATAGTAGTGGTGGCATGTGCCTGTAGTCCCAGCTAGCTACTTGGGAGGCTGAGACAGGAGGACTGTTTGAGCCTAGGAGTTGAAATTGTAGTAAATGATGATGCCACTGTACTCTACCTTGGAAGACAGTGAGACCTGTCTCTTAAAAAAATGTGCATAGTGGCTCAGCGCCTGTGGCTCAAGTGGCTAAGGTGCCAGCCACATACACCTAAGGTGGCAGGTTCGAATTTAGCCCGGGCCCGCCAAAAAACGATGGCTGCAACCAAAAAATAGCCAGGCGTTGTAGTGGGCACCTGTGGTCCCAGCTACTTGGGAGGCTGAGACAAGAGACTCGCTTGAGCCCAGGAGTTGGAGGTTGCTATGAGCTGTAATGCCACAGCACTCTACCCAGGGGGACAGCTGGAGGCGCCTGTCTAAAAAAAAAAAAAAAATGTGCATAGTCAGCTGTGGTGACTCATGCCTATAATCCTAATACCTTGAGGGGTCGAGAACTGCTTGAATTCAGGAATTGGAGACCAGCCTGAGAAAGATCAGACCCTGTCCCTACTTGAAAAAAAAAGAAAGAAAGAAATAAAGGAAAAGAACCCCAGCAATGTGGCAGGTGCCTGTAGTCTCAGCTATTCAGGAGTTTGAGGCAGGAGGATCGCCTGAAGTTTTTGGGGGGGCTTGGTATGAGCTAGCCTGACACCATAGCACTCTAGCCTGGGCAACAGAGTAAGACTGTCTCTCAAATAAATAAATATACATTTAAATTGCCAACTTCCCAAGGAGGCTGCACCATTTTGTGTCTCTCATACTCTATGTTAGCAGAGTATGAGAGTTCCAGCACAACAGTCCCACATCTTTTCCAGCTTTGGTGCTGAGTATCCTTCTGGTAGGTGTGTACTGGTATCTCAACTGTGGCTTTAATTTGCATTCCCCAAGACTCACTGAGTTTAAGCACATTTTCATATGTTTATTGGGCATTGGATTTGTTCTTTTGTGAAGTGCCTATTTTTGTTTGTTGTTCTTTTTTTTTTTTTTAGACAGTCTCACTGTGTGGTCGAGTCCTCTGTAGAGTACTGTGGTGTTATAGCTCATAGCAACCTCCAACTCTTGAGTTCAAGCATTTCTCTTGCCTCAGCCTCCCAAGTAGCTAGCACTACAGCCCCCACTACAATGCCCGGTGATTTTTAGAGACAAGGTCTCGTTCTGGGTCAGGCTGGGCTCGGGCAATCATCCACCCACCTTGCCCTCCCAAGTGCTGGGATTACAGTAGCATAAGCCACCATGCCTGGCCATGTGTTTATTGTTTTGATTGAGCTGTCAGTCCTTATTGATTTCTAAGAGTTTTTATGTAATCTAGACACTTTCTTTGTATTGTAAATATCATTTCCTGCCTTTAAGAAGCAGCAGTTCTTTTTTTTGAGACAGAGCCTCAAGCTGTCCCCCTGGGTAGCGTGCCGTGGCATTACAGCTCACAGCAACCTCCAACTCCTGGGCTCAAGCGAGTCTCGCCACAACGCCCGGCTATTTTTTGGTTGCAGCCGTCATTGTTGTTTGGCGGGTCCGGGCTGGGGATTCCAACCCGCCACCTTGGGTGTATGTGGCTGGCGCCTTAGCCGGTTGAGCTATAGGCGCCGAGCCGAAGCAGCAGTTCTTAACTTTTTTTTCTTTGAGACAGAATCTTTGTCACCCTTGGTAGAGTGCTGTAGCGTCACAGCTAACAGCAACCTCAAACTCTTGGGCTTAAGCAATTCTCTTGCCTTAGCCTCCCAAGTAACTAGGACTACAGGTGCCCGCGACAATGCCTGGCTGTTTTATATAGAATTTTTTTTTTTTGAGACAGATTTTCACTTATTAACCCTCAGTAGAGCGCTGTGGTGTCTCAGCTCACAGCAACCACCAACTACTTGGGCTTAGGCGATTCTCCTGCCTTAGCCTCCTGAGTAGCTGGGACTACAAGCGCCCGCAAGAACTCCTGGCTATTTTTGTGGTGCAGTTTGG